AGAAGTTATGTGTCCCTCAACGCTGCGTGTTTTACTATCGTGCCTGGATGCGACTACTCAAAATGCCAACAATTTGACGAGTGCATACGCACGAAAAGACACACGGCGATCAACAGAACATGAGCGATCACACGTGACTTCTCAATTTACACCTGGGCAGCCTCACCAACGGAAAAATATGAGGCTCTCATACGCCTGCTTTCAACACCTACCCAACACCGTAAACGCACCCACTTCCTAAGGAACGACCAAGCTACACCAAGTCTGACAAGCCAAACGCCTACTTTCCACGCCTACCTTTTCCAGTAATTTCTCTTCGTTGGCAAAAAAGACGACATCGACGTGTCGTTGGCGCGTCATCGAGAGAGGAGAAAAGTTTGCTTATTCCCGCGTAACCTTCCCTTCCGCGGGTACGAGTCGGTGAGCCACGGGCAAGCAGAACAAGCAAACCAATTTTTCCTCCATTGGCATTACCAAGCCTCCGCATCTACAATCTACGGTTTTCTTGAATGGGTAACTTTGAGGAGGCCAAGCTTTGAAGCCTGCAATCGATGGTTACTGTTTAGAGGAATATCGGCGAGGATGAAGCTGTTTCACCGTTATTGCCGTATCGAGTGCTGCGATCAATGCGCGAGTTTAGTGGATGGTGATAGGAAAGTGTTATTTCCGACGTATTGCCGAACATGGTGGATGAGGCGTGAGAAGGTTTTAATATAACGGTTTGGCGCCTGCTTTCGATGCCTACTCTATGCGGTAGGTAAGGAAGGTTCGATGCAGGGACGAGAGGTAGTATACGAGAAAGGTTGCGTGGTTGCTTTTGAGGATTGGTGGGTATACCCGCCTAGTTTTGATCCACCGACCGGGTGGACATTCAGCGGGTATGTACAGCCGAGCTCAAGTATTAACAACTACGAATGCCAGATAACCACCAGCCTAAGATTACAGCAGATCCTATTTACAAGTAAATATAGCACAGAGGGCTACCACCAAGGGTGTTGAGCACATCGCGAATCTTCACAGTCTTTCCGTTGACTCCCAAGACCAAGGGCTCGTCGATGGTGGCGTTGCGGGTTGGAGGCTTGTTCGACAAGGTCAAAGTACCAGTCACCTCGTTCGCCTCACGTGGATGAAGTGTCTGCCAAATCCAGTAGATGCGGTCAAGCATAGCGTGGTGGAGCCAAAAGACCGGGTCGTTCACAGAGGAGTAGAGATCAGTTCCGTCGCCGCCCATGGTGTAGTGACCTGATGTGTGTAGACCGAGGAAGCCGTCTGGGTAGCGACCTTGGATTTCGACCCAGAAGTCGCGATGCGTCTGAGAAGCTCTACCAATGGTTACATTCAGTAAGTTTGCCGTAGTGAACCACTTCTTGGGAATGTAAGGACTGATGTCTCGGCGCAGGCAATGAGGATTGTAGTCGTTGGGGTCGATGCCCAAATCGGGGAAGCCTTGCATACCAGGAGAAATCGGACCAATGTTCGCCACCGTGCTGTACTTTGTTAGCTCGCCGCAAGCACTGAGTTATGCGATGTTCTCACTTCTTGAAAGGGCCGCTCTTGACACATCCGCCTCCTTTTCCAGAGGGGATGGAAATTGTTCGGGCACCGGCAAGACTGCCATTGTGTGCGAAGAATTCGCCATCGCCACCCAGACTGGTATCACTTCCGTCGAAGACAGGGGACTTGTATATGTTGTCGGTATGTGCGAACCAGTTCCAGTACTTGGGAAGTTAGACATGTAAAAGTCACTCGAAGTGTCTGGTACTGACTGGTTGATAGCCCTTGTAGCCACATTCGTTTCGAAGGGCTTGCTCGTACGACCAGACAAAGTAGCGGTGCCAGGTGAGGAAGAGACCATTGCCATGAATGCCAAGGGTCTGGTTCACGTGGATGGCGACATAGTCGTCAAAACGCGTCTTCGCTGCTGAAGCCCACGATTTGTCGGACTTGGCTGGCAAAGTTCGCAGACATTGGACAGCTTTGATGTATGCTTTCCGCTCTGACTTGCTCAGGTGATCCCTTGTCGAGGTTAGCCAGCACTAATTCATGCGCGTAGTAAGCTTACCAGTCCCTCCGGATGGTTGTCTTCGCCAAAGAACAACCTTTGGGGGCCCTTTTTGAAACACTCTCATTTTGTTCAAGCGTTTCGTATGCGCTCTGCTGCAGTTGGGCGAGCGCCTCGAGAGGGTCTATTGCAGGGTCTGTATCGATGACTGGAGTTGAGGGCGAGTCAAAGGGGACCGCAGCCACAAGGCTTACAGCCAACAGCTGCACGGCGGTTACAGCTTGTAACAGACGCATGGTGATGGTGATGGGATCGCTATGTGCAAGGTCTGGCGATTTAAGGAAGTAAGATCTGAATCCAAATCGACGGTTATATCCAATGCGAATGCAACCCTTGTTCATGCAAGGCCTTCGCCGCAAGCGTACTTCCGATTTCCAAGGACCTATATTAGAAGAAGCGGCTCTGCAGCGAGTCCAGATGAATAAATCGATCAACGCGGCTTAGAGTATAGGCGCGCCTAATGAAAGCCTGCATCCTCTCCGTACTTTAGCCCAAGAGTGTCCTGCTATGGGGCCATAGCTTGTACTGGAAACGCGGTGCAGACTAGCCTACGGCCTCCTTAGGTACGTCTTTGACCTCGGAGTAGCGACTGAACGGCCGGTAGCGCTCGTCGTGGGATATTACCATGCGGAATTTTATGCTGCCAAGATTATACCATGTCAGGGCGATGGTAGTGCATGCTTCCAGAGCACGGCACTGTGTGTGGTCGCCCATTGTTCGGTTGGGGTGGCGAGTAAACGGCTGTCACGACGGGGACCGTTTTGGGTAGTGATAACTTCGCGCGATGCGATGCGAAAGGATCATCTGTCGACCGTTTAGCTGAGTGATCTAAAGGCTCCTGAAGCAAACTTGGCACTGCTAAGATCTGGGATCTTTAGGATTGTGTTGGATCGAAATGACATACGCATACAAAGGCGAAAGGTTGGCTGTCGACCAATGGGACGCCGTCCCACACCATGCGACTATATCTGAGTGCGGCATGAGATCGTCAAAGGGTCGCGTAGGAGTGGCGCCTTCCTGCGGTGAATGCGAGACGGGACGGAGACGGGAAAGAGCCCTTGACAGTGGTAAACGATCCCTAGTACCTGCCGCCCCACGAACAACCGGCTCACTCCCATGACTGCGCCGCTTTATACCAGAAGCCTTTAGACCCAGAGACATTTTCATATCCCACGCAATGTCACCAAACAAGCCCATTGGCGATCAAGTAACGAATCGCAAAGGCTTCCAGCTCTGCCTTTGCCTATTCAGCCTAAACTGATCCTTCTCGTATTGCCACCCCCAAGAACCAACATGTCGGCTTGTTTACCACTGAAGCGAGCTCGGGTTTCGTTGCAAGTTGGGACCATTCATGCGCGCAGCGGACCATTAGCCACCCGTCGACCCGTCGAACCGTTGCGCTGGGCTGGCTCGTCTGCGATGGAATCCTACCCTTCGGCCCGATTACTTAGTGCGCGAACGCATCTGGGACCGGTGCATGCTGAAAGTAGATGCAGGTGCGGGCTGCATGCAGGCGATGCCGTCTCTTTGCCATGCAATATGGGCAATATACATTGTCGCATTGCATTAATACTCTAGTATTAGAGTAATGTTATCTATTATTTATTCTAATTTTATTAAATTTAATAACTTATTTTTTTTTAGTAGTAATATATATTATAAAATAGTAAGTCTACTAAAGCTAACTTTATTATCTATTATTTACTACTACTACTACTATACTTAACTTTATATACGCTTAACTTTTAAAAATAAAGTAATTTTACTTAATACTTTTAATATCTAAGTAAGATTCTTATTACTAAATAGCTTATTTATAAATATTTTTTTACTTACTAGTATCTAAATATTTAGTTTAACTCTTACTAGTATTCTTATAATTATATTTATTTATTAACTAATATATAAACTTACTAGTACTATATTACTATTATTAATTTTAATTATATCTAGAAAAATTATATAACTTAGTAGTATTATTTAAAGAGCTTTTTAGTAGTTAGCTTTAACTTAAAATATTTTACTATTAGTATAAAGTAAGTAGTTAGTTATACTTTACTATAAAATAACTATACTTATATTTCTAGTTAGCTTAACTATATAAAAAAAGCTTAGCTTAAAAACTTTATTATTAATATATCTACTTAAAAGTATAATACTTTTTATTAATATAGTCTTAAAACTACTAAAAGTATTAATAAAAAAAAAAAAATAAAGTAGATATTATTAAATATAGTTATTTTAAAGCTTTAGAGTTAGTAAAAGTAGTAAAATATAAAAGAGTACTAACTTAGAGTTCTAAGTAATATAGTATAAAAAAGAAAAAAGTAAAAATTAAAATAGTAGTATTTTAATATAAAGTATATTTATAAACTTTTTTCTTACTACTATAACTAAATTTTATAGCTTTAGTTATATTTTTAGGCTTAAAAAAGCTTATAAAGTTTTATAGTTTTTATTATAAAAGTATTTTTTAGTAATTTAATAATTTTTTTATTTATAGCTTATCTTTAAGCTAAAAAGCTTAAAACTATTAGTTAAGCTTTTTATAACTTATAAGTAAGTAAAAAGCTTATTTTTTTATAAATTTACTTATAAAAGAAAGCGTTTAAGCTAGAAATATTTATGTATTTAACAAAATTTATACATTTGTTTTAAGAAAAAGCAAAGCGCAGGAAGGATTCTCCAAGAAATTGGCACACAAGGATGCCACATCTCACGGTAAGCAGGCTGACGAACCAACAAACGAGGCCATGTCACCTTCTAGAACACTGCTACCGTGCTCTGAAGTCGTTGCAGAGAGCTCCGTATCCTGCTGGGCATGAAATGTAGGAAGGGGGGACGTAACACAACATATCCTTGGTTTCGAAAGGATGCATGACACTTATGTCTCCTCCCTACGACTCCATTTTGCTAGACCCTCATCTTTGCCGTCACTATGGCACCAAAGAATACCGACCCGGTGCGTGCAGCAGAGAGTAATCTGGGATACCTCCTCGGCGTTACCGCGACTTTCCATGTCATCGCACTGACCTTTGTTGGGATGCGCATGTACGCCCGCTTCGTCGTCGTGAAGGCGTTTGGCAAAGATGATGCCCTCATACTAGCGGCAGCGGTGAGAAACTAACGTGAATCAAGTTTGAGTGCTTCTCTAACTGCGTGGATTAGACTTGTGTTTTTCTTGGTGGAATGGTGACCTACATACTAGCTGTCCAGCATGGCTTAGGTCGTCACACCGACACTCTCGAGAAGTCAGATCACCAAGAGTACCTGAAGTTGACCTTCATACAAGCTCTTGTCTCCAGCATTGGAGGTATGGCCTTCCTCAAGTTGTCCGTCGGGTTCTCACTCCTTCGCTTGGGCGTTCCCACGTTATACAACAGGATACTCTGGTCGCTTATCGGTAAGTCCATGGTGCTTTGAAAAGCGAATTCATTACGTCTACTAAGCATTCTCAGCATTCGTCTGTCTCTACACACTGGTATCTTGGAGTGAATGGGCTGCCGTGTGCAAACCCATCGCCGGTTTCTGGAATAAGGACCTCAAGCCAACCTGCGTGCCTGTGAAAATCCACAAGGGCTTTGCGCTGATGAATACAAGTACACATGTCCTCCGCCACTCTTACTGTACTTGGTGGCTGACTAGATCGTACGCAGGCTGCAACATGTTTACGGATATCTGCTTTGCAACCATCCCTATTCCCATCATTATGGGGTTGCAGATGAAGCAGAAGACTCGCATGTACCTCATCTTTGTTCTGAGCTTGGGCTACACGTAAGTTTCCCGGCATCGGGAAGGGAGGCTTGAGTTGAGGCACAAAAGCTAACCCAAGTCAAGAGCGGTGGCCATGGGCATCGTCAAGGCTGTTGTCCAGAATACAAAGAGAGGCGACCCCGACCAGTCATTGTAGGTCTCTATGTCTATACTTGAACCAGTATGGACGTTTGCTAACAGTATGCCAGCACGAACGACATCCAATTCTGGGGCTTCCTCCAGGTGAACGTCGGTATCATAGCCGCATGTGCGCCATCGCTCAAGCCCCTCGTCGGTGGCATTCTTCGCCTCCCCTCGACACAGTATTCCAACAGCCGAAGTAACTTCGCCTCGGGATCGAACGGCCAGTCCAACAAAAGTAGATTGCAAAGCAGGATACGCGTTAGCACTCGGATTGAGAGCAAAGGGTGGATAAGGACAGATAGCGATATCGAGCTGGATGAACGAGAGTCCTTTGGCAGCCAGGCGCACATAACGAGCAACAAGGATGGAGTTCGTCAATGATAGACCCGTTTTATAGCCGATATTCATCTTTGCACCTCATACAGGGAAAAACCTAAACAGGTCTACAGCCCACATCAACATGGAAACCTGCAAAGTAGGTGTCCTAACGTTAATGTCGCCTCTAGAACTATTTAATCTTTTCCTAGGTTAACGTGTTTAAATAATAGGAATAACTTTGAGCTAGTTCACCTCTGCGCGACCTTAGGAAAAGACCAGTGTCTTCGTTCCTCACATTCATTTGTGGAATTGAAGCTTGTGAAGATGCCTATGTCGAAGGAGATACCTGGGCAATCACAGAGCACGATACGACTGTGCAAGTAAGCAGCTTTTCCAGTGGTCGCGCATTTAAGAAGGCAAGACACCTGTCCCAAAGTATGCGATGCGCTGCCTGTGGACGTCAGATGTGTAATGAGTGTCGTGCGCGTGGTTCATGCCAGCAGCGGGCGACCTCGGGATGACGCGGGCACTAACGGGACCCCTCAGGCCTACCCCTCACTCCGCACTCATGCTATGCGTCTACACAACTGAGCCCTGCTAAACCATAGCATCACGTACATTCAAGAAGGAGACTACCACATCGCCGTGTAAGTATCAAAGATCGATAGGGATGCCATTCGTAACGCGAAATGAACAGGTTTGCCTCGCACTACCCGTTGTATGCTTTCCCTGGTGATGCCTTCTCATACGTAAACAGCTTTCGTTCTCGCCCAATACTACCGTGAGGACTCATCCCATCTCGTCTACGGTATAATGATACGCCAGTCATAGTCCCTTCGCAATTTCCAGGGAACAGTGCGGACCCATCACGATTTGACCGCTCCCAAGTTTGGAGCGACAACAGACAAGCTACACGCAGTCTATTTGCCGGAGTTGTACCTCGCGCCGCCCTGGCCATCGTTGTAGTAGGTCGAGCCCTGGAAGTGAATTAGCAAGAGTCTATCCGTGTTGGACAAGTTTGACGTACGTTGGGGTTGCTGTAGTAGTACGAGCCATCGGTGTTGGAGTAGTGGTAAGAGTTGGGGTTCGAGGCGCTGGAGCCATAGTCGCGGGAGCAATAGTGGTTTCCCTACGAAAGAGTCTCAGTCAGGCGTATAGAAAACGAAGAAGTAAGATCATACCTGGCTGTTGGTACCGGAGCTGGTTGTGGTGTAGCCTCCGCTGCCGGTATTGCCTGAGGAAGCCGAGCCGGAGCCGGAAGAGTTGGATGTGTTCTGGGACGACATGGCAGTTGGCTGACTGACGTGGGTATTCGGATAATCGGTGGATTGAGTGGAAGCTGAGTGATCTCAAGTTGTAGAAGAAAAGAGGAGAAGAGGAAGGGGTGTTAAATGTACGAGAAAGGCAGCGCCGTGAGGGGAACCCCCGCACTGACTTCCCGCAACGGCTTACGCTTTCCTCATTCTGATCCCACGAGCTTCGCCACGCGGAGCGCGCTACTGCTTGTATCAACGTTTGACCGCTATCGCGTTGTCACGAGCTTACCAGAAAGGACGGGCCGCTACTACAATCTTGGTATAGCGACACGGCTTTCAGACTACGCGACTCATGCGACGGGACGCGTTTGATTACCTTGGGCTCAAGATCTCACTGGCGTTAGAAGGGAAGTAGAGCGTTCAAGTTGCAGGATCATTTCTTAGGTTGCTACACTCGATCTTGGAAGATCAGCTCGCAAGGAAAGCAGATACAGCCCGACCACCCAGCTTCCTTCCCTTCCTTTTCGTCTATCACATCCTTTGTATCTTCACCAGCTCCAACCTTGAATCCGTGTCATCTGCATATGACAACGTGTCTCAGTGCGCCGCTCCAACCTCTTAATGTTGTCGCGCCGGAGATGCCTGTAGAACGGCTTCAATGACAGAAAGCTCCACCAGCTCGGCAGCCGCCTGGTTCTGTTCCCTTTTCTTCTTTACTCTGTACCATGCCACGAACAAAACGAACCCTACGACGGCCGACGAACCGATTGCGGAGATGACGATGAAGATGATGATGGTGGCGGATGTAGTTGCCTGCTGTTTCGCGACTTCTGTGACAGGCGACGATTTGGGTTCGAAGAGACTCATGGCTCTTTGCTGTCGTTTGCTCTGAATGCTGACTTGTGGTAGTTGTACAGAGGATGGCGCCGCGCCGGTTGAGAAGGTGTCGTATCTGGACCTTGTCGTAGCAACAGTGCCCTACTGAGTCACTTGATCGTCTGACGTCCGAAGCGTCTGCCGTAAGTTGAAGGTCGAGACTGTTGGTCCAGGTGGTATCGGGTTCGTCCAGATGAGCGCCGGTCCGTCGAGAATGACAACGCCGCGTTGTCGAAGGCGCCTCCACCGCGCTTTGCTGTGTACGTTGGACCAACGGAGAAAGGCGATGACGAGAATGATCTGGAAGAGCAGGATGATGAGGACGCCGACGACGATCAAGAAGAGAGGCCAGTCAGGAAGATTGAGAGGCGCCAGTGGTACGTGAGTGGATGCTGGAAGTGCCGGCATGGTGAAGAAGATGGCGTGATCGGGCTGCGTGAGAGTGAGGATACAAAAGAGAAGAGCTTATCGGTGAGTTGGGAAAACTCTGCGCGCGTGACAGCCCTAATGGAGTGAAGGTGAAAACTTTGGACCGTGAGACCGCGGACTTGACGACGACAACACCATCAATTGCGCGTTGACGTCATGTCCACCATTCTCTCCAGATCGGTTTGCACGCTGCGCAATCGGCTCTCGACGCGTCCGCCGCGCCAGGCATCCGCATCTCACCGTATCTCCTTCTTTCTTCCACTCTACGAGTCCTCGAGGCGTATACATCCGGCAGAAGTCCCAGAAGAGATCGGGGGAGCGGAGGTTGTAGCCGGCAAACTGGTTGGAGGGTTGACGGAGAAACTCCCAGAGAGATGATTGTAGGTGGTAAGCCACCATACGCAATGTTAGTTGAGTGAGTGACATATCCTTGTAGTAGGCAAGTCGTTTGTTGGTCGGTAACTCTGAATAGATGAGACATGTTGTAGTTCTCATAGTTTATAGGCAAAGATAAGGAAGAAGGTGGAATTCTCGCTCTCGGATAGACAACATAGATATGTAGTGCTGCCAGGATTGACGCTGCTGATCGAACCATGGGTCAAACCTTGATGCTCAAATGCCACATCCAGGTACGAGTAAGGCGGCAACATGGGAAGCTATGACGGTATTCCCAATGCGATGTGTCTGTCAGATGAAGTTGCATCACTTTAGAGTTAGAGATATAGCACATATAACAAGACTCTTGCCGCAGACATTAACAGTAGGCCTGCGCGATACTCTGTAGAAAAGGCTATGTATATCTTAAGATATATTTTCTTACTCAGCTCCAGACTTTAAACCTTTATTGTAGACTTTATAAGGTACTATGCCTAGACAAGATACTAGAAGGTAGGTTAACGTATTTATGAAACCGTTTCTGCATGCTCAATCCTTAGTATTCTCGACACCTCCATCCCAATGTACTGCACATGACCCATCCAGCAAACAGGGAGTACCTTCAACACCAGGACCTGTCTCCTCGAAACCTGTGAGCGCCCAACGCGAGGAACTCCCCTAGCGAATCCGCTCACATGATGGTCATAGCCGTCGCGCGACTCCGATATAAAGACATAGCCATGTCTACGGCGGCTTTTGGCCCGCGATGCACTACAAGCCCGCTCAGCATTTGGCGACATCGGCGACAGTGGCACCAAATTCGCCTCTGATTTACATATTTCCCAAAGCTTTCGCGTGGAACTGGTCGTACCAGGTGCTGGAGTGTCGAGATTAAGGATCCACTTCGCGATTTCTTGTACCACATACGAGATGCTTCCCGCTCTCGTACTACCTCAGCATCACATCTTCTCTTTCTCCCTGACCGGACTCAACATCGGTTGGAAGGCTTTGATCTGCTACAGGAGTCATCAGCATACATCCACCCGAGCCTCATGACATCACACAAACATACCTTGCCCATCCAGCCCCCCTCACCTCGTTCCGCTCGATCTATACCCCTTGCATCTCCGCCCATATCTTCTCCCCTCTTTCTATCTCTTCCTCCACACCTACAGCACACCACTTTTCTCAGCACAGCGACAACCATTAAGAAAGCCATCATAGCGAGGATGTAATTCACGCCCAGTACGATCAAATAGCTGACACCGAAAAGATTGTCGCGCGTACAGAACCCAGGTCCTAGATTCCAGGAACGGATCATGGGATCGATGAGCTGAGCAATGTACATTGGACATTTGTGGAGTGTGGGGTAGTCAGGGAAGGAGGGCGCGGGGCTCGAGTGTGGTAGGTGCAGGGCCGGGTAGGTGATGATGATTTGTGGCATTTTGAAATACGTAGCTATCTTGAAGACGGCAGTATGAGGCTGTCGGTTATGAAATGCGGAGTGTTGGTAGGTGTATATGCCGAGTTATGGTGAGGTCTTTGTGAGCTGAGGTGTATGAGTGGCCGCTGTTCAAGGACCGATGCGCCGCAATTTACATGACTGCCTTGGTGTTACACGGCAGCCACCGGGTTTCTTGGATGCGGCGTCGCCCTGTCTTAGTTAATGTGCGGATGCTGAGCGTCACTTTATCTGCCATGGCCTGAAACGCGCGTCATTGTTTCGTATACATGGGGATGGCCTTGCGCATCGGCCTTGGAAGGGTAATTGGAAGATTAAGGTTTTGAAATGCGATAGATTGTTTCAATGGGTACATATGCGCTAAATGCGATATTTGGGTTCGTTTTCGATGACCCGAAAGGTTGGTAAAATGCTCTTTACCTAGTCCTTCCATTTCCCGCTCCATCCCTGCCGTGCCGCTTGCGCCGTCTTCCCACCATCACCGTCTAAGTACCCAAAGTATTTTCTAGGCCAGATATTCAGCCCAATCTTCTCTCCTTCGCCTACCGGCAACCCAGCATGCACCACTCTCCTATCGCCCTTGCCATTCTTGTCCAGATTGACCCAGAACACTGCATTCCCTTGGATTGGTTTGAATTTGATGCCTTTAGCTTCTCCATCCATCTCTCCGTGAGCTACTTTGCCGCTATAGAAACCTTCTAAATCGGTAGACAAAGAAGGCTCGACTAGAGGGAAAGACGTATACCCATCCGTGCAATTATCGCGCAGAAAGACGAAGAAAGACGCGACACGGTTGTAGTAAACCCGCCTGCCATTTTCGAGAGTGGTGATCTGGTGTTCAGGCCAAAAGTCCGTATGCAGGTTGTACTTCTGGCCAGGGAAGTAGCGCACCAGTTGCGGAATGCTAAAGGGCTCGGATGAGAGTAGTATGGAGCCCATGAACGTTCGTGCGCGATTGAGAAGGCATTCGACAAGTAGGTCTCCCATTGGGAGCGGCGCGGACTGAGAGGTTCGCCCTGTTACACGCTGCGTGTTGCCTCGCGAGCGGCTGATGAAAGATTCGGCGAACTCAGGAGAGCTGCGGGGATTAGTGACTATTTGCATTCGCTATGTACCGTCTACAATAAACGGAGGCGAGTATGCGTACCCGAGCTTGATAAGTTCCTCCGCTTCTCGTGCTGACGTGAAGTTGTTAATGTAGATCAAAAGAGGATCGAGAGATATGATCTCAGTCGTGTACTGGTGGCCTGCGCATACTTTGTTTAGGTTCTCCGAACTCAGCGACTCTTGTGAGCTGGCTGATGCCGATGTAGGCAGGTACGATTGGAGCAGTTTGGGCAAGTACGCGTGAAGTATAGGCAGGAGCGTCTGCTGAGCGCCTGCATAAAAGATGCCGAAGGGAACAAGAGGAATCAGTAGCAGCAGTAGGACATTCGTGCTACGAGCGCCGACCTACAAGACGTTAGCCGTCTCTCCGCAGAGAGTCCGGGTATTCCTTACGAGCCCTGACTTGCCTTCCATCGACGATGGCGTCGCTGCGTTCACGCCTTTCTTGTTTTCGTGATTCTTGTGCGCCATAGGTAGATATCGCGTTTATGCCTCGAGGTGCCGATAACTAAGAATGCGATGGCTATCGCGCACATGCAGGTAGTAGCGCTGATGAACGCATGGCGACAGTGCGATTATGTGCGGGGTGTGTTGCGTACGTGACGGCGGTACTGTTTGGCGGCATACGTATTGCGAAAGGCCTTGTAGAGTGATCTGTACGTGCTATATGCATATGAGCTGTGCATGAACAAGAGTCTGGGGTGATATCCGGCTACAGCACCCCGGTGCTGCGATACGTGTGCGTTGCCACACCTACAGGGTTTAATGCGTACCGGAAACAGGCAAGTAGTAGTCATGTCACCCATTCATGTCGAAATGCAAGTGGTAGATATGATGAAAGATGTGCATTGGAGATGCGCGATGTGCAGCTGCGATCGCTATCTTGGAAACAATCCAACTCCGCTGCTACCTTTTCGGGAAACCATTCTTGGTGTCGTGGTACTCCAAACGCCGTGCTGGACTTTTATGTACAAACCCTTGCAGGCCAGCTTTTTCATCCATGTGCGCTCCGCCAGTAGAGAAAGATGGTGCGCATTGCCATTTGACAGCCAGAGTCAGAAAAGAGCAAACGAAAAGCCGACCAGTTCGTAGAGCGTTATTGATCTACGTCAGGCTCGCGGAAACGCTTTAGACTTCATCCTCCACGATCTCCTCCTTGGCGGGATCGATCTTCATGGGGGAGCCTCCGGTGTCAGCGTCCTCGTCAGACTCTGCCTTGACAGCTGCGGTATGTTAGCGGTCTGGAGTTTACATCAAGATTAATGCACGCAAAGTAGGCGACCCAATGTCAACGTAGGCTCCAGGGTGTGCTTACTCTCGTTCTTCTTGCCACGGGGAGTAGCCTTCTTCTTAGGGGAAGACTCGCCGTCGACGTCCTGCTTCTTGGCGACACGCTTGCGAGGGGTCTTCTTAGGGGTCGCGTCGGCACCCTCTTCGCCGTCCTCCTGCTTGGCGGCAGCAGCCTTCTTACGAGGAGTCTTCTTGGGAGTAGCCGGAACGGCGCCGTCGGGAGAAGGTGTCATCAACTTGAGCTTGATCTTGGCCCAGGCGTTGCTAGCGGAGCGCGGGTTGCCCATACCGGCGTAGGCGGCGAGCTTCTCGTAGTCGATCTATAGCGGGTGTGATTAGTGTGATAGGAATAGGAATGGAGTGGTGACCTACCTCTGGAGGACCGGACTTGAGGGACTGCATGGCCCATCCGAGGAGCTGGAGCTCGCGCTCGGTGAACTGAGGAGAAGAGCCATTGGCGACGGCGGTGTTATCGTTGTCGGACATGTTGGATCTTCGGGGTGTGCTTGAATGTTGGTGGTCAAGTTGTAAAGAGATGCAGGAGGGAGACGGATGCAGATTATGAATGCGGAGGATTAGCGCGATGGCAGGAAAGTGAAGGTGAGCACACAAGGATGAGCGGCGCACACAGATAAGCCAAATACGGCCCTCACCTCGACTTCATGATGCGAGACCCTGGATTGAGCTCGCGCTATTGGTCGCCTGCCATCGGACACGCACACGTGCGCCACGACGAAGTGAAGGTGAGCCGCACCTCGATATCGGACTGCCTTACGTGATATGGTATGAGAGCAGACATTTCGGAATCTAGAGGTCTTACCCCCTCATGTCTTGTATAAATGATATGACGATAGCTCTTTCTTGCTTGCTATTCCATAAGCAAAAGTAGCAGTCAATGCAAACAACTGTCTGCATACTCGCAACGAGTTCTATTGTATTGCCACAACGAAAAGCGCTTATTCGACGAGACGAGACATGACATCTAGCATGATCAAAAGAGAGCCCTGAAGAGCGCTGACAACACGTCATAATAGAAGTGAAAGAGTTCGTCCTCGACGACGGAAGTCGCGATTGTTAAGAGAAAGAGGCAGAAACAGGCCGCTGCTGCCACAAGCCTTGTGACGCGAGGACAAACACCCTTCCTGGAATGGACAGCAACCCATACAACGCGATAATCAGCGACAACGAAAAAGAGAGTTGAGGTGTTGTTGCGTGAATTGACGCGTCGCGGGGATGGGGTACCAACGCTTGTACTCGCCTGACTCGTGTGGGCCGGCCAGCGAATCGCCGACGGAGGAGCCGCTGGAGATTGAGGGGACGGGGCTAGGACCCAAGCGATACTCAAGCAACCCGACCTTGATCACGCCCGAGCGATACACGCCCAAGACCCGCATCAGAATCATGGCGGACCCCATTGACAGCGCCCTGTGAGACTTCCCCGACCCCGCCTTTCCCACGGCGATAGCTAACAAGCCGTGTCAGCGACCTCCTGCGCCGACTGAACCCCAAGGACGTCAAGCGCAATGTCGACCACATTATCCAGCTCAACCCCTCGCTGGAAGAGGACCTGCTCGAGTCCGTCGACATACCACTCACCGTGAAGAAATGCTCCAAGACGAAGCGCGACTTCCTGTGCTGCGACTACAACCGCGACGGCGACAGCTGGAGGAGTCCGTGGAGCAACGAGTTCGAGCCGCCCATTGAGGAAGGTGTCACGCCTAGCGATCGTGTCCGTAAGATGGAGGTCAAGGCGAACGAGGCTTTCGACGTGTACCGGGAGCTGTGAGTGCACACAAGGGAGGGGGCAGCTTGGAGAGCTTGGCTGATGCAGACAGGTACTTCGAGGGCGGCATATCGAGCGTGTACCTGTGGGACATGGACGATGGCTTTGCAGGCTGTGTCCTGCTGAAGAAGGGTATGCAGTCCTGGGTCTATACAGCCATCACATGCTAACGCACGCAGCCGTCAACCCCACGCCCAAGAGCTCCGGCAGCTGGGACAGCATCCACGTCTTCGACGCCCAAGACCGCGCCCGCACCTCGCACTACAAGCTCACCTCCACCGTCATCCTCTCCCTCGGCACCGACAGCGAAGCGCTCGGCGGTCTTGACCTCTCCGGTAACATGGTGCGCCAAGTGGAAGCCGACATGGCCGTCGAGGATGACACCTCGCACGTCGCCAACATTGGAAAGATGGTCGAAGACATGGAGCTCAAGATGCGCAATCTGCTGCAGGAGGTGTACTTTGGAAAGGCAAAGGACGTTGTGGGTGACCTGAGGAGCATCCCATCACTCAGCCAGACGAACCGGGACCGGGCAACACAGAGGGAGATGATCAACAGCATGGGTCGGTAGGAGTAATGGCGTGCGTATGAGGATGCATAGTGTGGCATAGATGATATCAATCGATTCTGGCTCCAGCGGTATACCCACGAGGACTGGACTATCTCAAACACAGAACGGGCTGTTGCATGTGATGAATTGCAGGCAGTGACGGGACCCCACAGAGCTACGTGTGAGATGGTAGGGAGCCGCAGTAAGTGACAGGCTATCATGCCGGTCATAGACTGACTGCACGCAAACTCCGTAGATCTTGTGCTTGAGATATGCACGGTAGTCCCTTCCCTGATCTCTACTGAGAGGCAATGCATAGTCTGACAAAGCGACAAACGCTCGAAGCGTCCGAGACAAACATTCCACAAAAGGCTAGTTACTTCCTACCAAACACAGCAGCCACTATATGAACACGTACATCCCCAGACACATCTGCCACCAATCTCAAGACGAGGCACGACCCATTTCAAGCTATTCACCCTAGAAAGTCCACTGCCCCAGATGACTAGCCCACCCGCAACCCGTAAGCGCTCACGGAATCTATCAACCAGTTCCGCATCACTACCGTCAGCAAAGCTGGCCGATCCGCCATCTGATCGTGATCGAACGTCTGCGACGGACCGTGCTGCCGACTTCCCAAGCGCAGTCAAGGAAGACACAATTGGAGATGACATGAGTGGAGAAAACAAGATTACGACGGAAAGCACTCGCGAAGAGCGTGAAGATGCAAAGACGGTCGAAAAGTACAAGGACACAACGCCGAACCTCTACGAGACCAAACAGGAACCCGAATCAGCCGCACCCGGTGCTACTACAGCTTCGCCGGAAACGCCTATCACGACACCCGATCCTCTGGCGATAGCTCGGAAGAAGTTCGAGGAGAGGGTGGATGAGCTCGCAGTTGGCCTCATTGCCTCGTCGCGACAAATCATTGAAAAGGCCATCGATAAGGTTGTTAAGTTAGCGGAGGAATATCGCCAGCCTCTTATCCAGGCGGCAGAGATATCTGCCAGAGAAAAAGGCCGTAGGGAAGGCTATGAACGAGGTTATGCTGCAGGCTTAGAACAAGGCAAGAAGGTGGGTTATGAGCAAGGTAAGAACGGTAGCGATGAGGAGGGCAAGAACGATGAAGATGCGTAAGGCAAGAAGGATGGCAACAAGCTTGCAAAGGCCGAGTCAGAACTTCCGTCCAAAGCCATGTAGAGGCGAATCCATAGCTGTACCAGTCAAAAAAGATCATGGGTGGTTAGACATGTAGTAGGCAAACCAATGGAATCAATGCGTTGCGCCAATTCAATAGAATCTGTAGTTGCCTGTCCTGCTGGGGCGGTGCGGTTCGGGCCTAGCGCGGCTTCCGTCTCGTGTCGCACCCGTGGACGCGACGCGATCTCTTCCCCTCTCCCTTCGTCCTTGCCTTATTCTCATGGCGTCCACCCACCAACAACTGCCTGACGTGACCTTCAAATCATTGCCATTCATCACCCTACACCAACAACGCAGTGAGATCCTATACTGCATATCAAGCGCCCCGAACCGTGCCGCCCGCCGCTTACGCGTTCGTCCCAACACGACGCCATTTATCGACAAGCTGGTTACTACCAGAATCTTTCATCATTGCGAAACCAAAATGCCTCATCGTCAAGTACACTTACCGGATATAAATCTCAGGGTCGACTGCTAAAAGCTTGCCGTAGCTCCGAGATTCGCCAATCTCCGGCTATGGACGTGACGCAGATCTTCCGCCCGCAGTGTCACCACCAACTCGTTCGGTATATTACAGCTATTATAGTTACAATATGCAGTTATCTCGAATACGGTTGACAGGTTGTTCCACTTGCAACTGAGGCCCTACCAGCCTTGCATCAGGCATACCATCACACTTTGCGCACGGGTGCACCATGGGCAGCTGTGGCAATAGCTTCGCTGATCGTGCCAGAGCTCAGCAGTCCGCTCCATGATTCGATCGTTGACCATTTCCATCCGGCCCCCGGGTCAAGCCTCTTAGCTTCGGGGGGCTGGAAGTGGACGGGGTTTCATCTAGATGCCCCCAATCTCACGTCTCGTGATCCCGTAAAGGAGCTCAATATACATTCGAGTAGAACCGCGGCTGATTGTCGACCGTCGAGAGTTCTTGTACAAGAAACACATAGAAGAGTCCGGTAATGAGGCTCAACTAGATTGACTGCATGAAATGTTGACGTTCGCTATATAATGAGGGCATTATTGAGCTCAGCTGACTTAGAGAAGTGTGAAGGTATGGCTCATGACCGGAGTCACCGAGGTGTACGCGTTACTTCAAAATCGGCTTGTAGTGTGGCACAGCATTCAAACTTTCAGGAAAGCAGACTGGACGGAAGATGCATGGGTGAGTATTCACATCTTACACAGAACCCGTACCAGGGCATCTGGATTGTCCTTCCCACGAGATCCCATGTCAGAGTACGGCACGGTACTGGAACGCTTGCGCCAATTCACTGTCATCCCCGTATATACAAGGCCTTTGTTAAGGGAATGTACCCGGTCAGCAGTAGAGTGGCGTTCACGTTCCCTTCGATTCGGCAACAATAGCTCTTCCAGTGCGCCAGATAATACATGAGTGGAAGTTATTTTGGGCACTGCATATCTGATGATGAAGACAGCCTCAAACCACGGTTCATGGCCCCCCACCAATGCGCCTGAACACCACCTCGCTACAATCGGGTTGGACTGATGTTGGAACGCTTTGGTTGGGTGACGTTGAAATACAAAAGAGATATCAATGGAGGTCGAGCTGGAAAACGCATTCTTACAGCTCAGTCTTCGTCTAGTGTATGGAGAACTGCAAGATGGCGAGATTCTCCATTGCTTTCCTCCTACTCGGAACCCTACGCTGCTGTTTGGCATCACCTCACCAGCATTTCGCCCGAGGCACTACCGCTCTGATACCAAGCGCAACTTCAGCATCGCCGACTTCAACCCTACCTTCATCTCCGGCAACAGACCAAAGGCAGCACTCCAAGCATGTCAACGACTTCTATAGACTCTACGGCTGGCTCAAGCCTGGAGCGTCCGTATCAGACAGCGAGCTTCCGAGAGCCATACGAAAGATACAAAAGAAGCTCAAAGAGCCTGTCACTGGGACTTTCAGCGATAAGATGATGGAGATGATGAGCGGGCCGCGCTGTGGCACGGAACAACCGTACAATGCGACAGATGCAGAGGACGCCTCGGACGTTGAGCGACGATACGTACTCTGGGGCCCGAAGTGGGCGAAGACGACGTTGACATGGCGCTTCGACAGTTACACGAATGATCTGTCTACAGCGCGCCAGCAAAGCACGATCAGGTAAGTTAAGCTTTTACATCTCGGTTGTGTGGTATTTTGTAGGCTATGGTGTGGACCTTCTTCAGGTCAATCTCTACTATTTCGTCTTCCAGCCCAATAACCCTGGTTGCTAATGCTGCACAGTACCGCTTTTGCCCAATGGATGAACTACATACCCCTCAATATCGTACAAGCAGCCTCGAACGCTAGAGCTGACATCAACATCCGCTTTTCTCCCCTTGGTCGAGACGATACGCGTTACGGTTTTACGTCCATGGTCTCTGATGGCACCTCCATGTCGTCTGGCAACATCAATGTAACCTTCAATGACGATTACCAGTGGACAGATGACCGCCTTTTCGGGTATACAGCTGTTCATGAGATCGGTCACGCTCTCGGGATGAGCCACAGTGGCGTCGAGGCGGCCATCATGTTCGCCTACTACGATGGTAGCATACGCCCTATGCATCCGGACGACAAGATGGGTATACACAGCATCTACGGCTGGAAGAGCCCGACTTGGAGTCGTATCGATTCAGGCTCAGCAATCACAAATATGATACAAGTCACATCCAACACGGCTACCACTTCGGCCAATGACGGTCTCTACCAAATGCGTTCATCGGGGCAGATTCTTCGCTACTCAAATGGTGCATGGGTGGTTGTCGACAACAACAAGGACACTGCTCAGATCACCGGTGCAAATGGCAACCTCTACCAACGACACTACGATGGAGGTACCTTCCGCTGGACAGGCAGCGCATCGAACTGGCAAGCTCTTAGCAATACCGACTCAAACGTCATTGAGATCGTCGCTGCAGCCGACCAACTGTACTCGCGGCGCAAAGATGGATGGGTAGCCCGGCTCTCTGGCAGTACATGGCTTAGTATCGAGCAACCTTCCGCCCCTGGCTCCAAACAGATAGCCGTCACAGACGACAAAACACTTTGGAACTTGCTCACGAACGGGTATCTTGTTCGTTCCCTGTGGCCCCATAACGCTGGTCAATGGGCCGTCGTTGACGACAACGCGAAGAACATCGCCATCGCAGTTGGCGGCAACGAATTCTACAAACTGCAGAGTGACGGCTTAGTAGTGTGGTTGAACACTGCTGGTCCTAGTTGGAAAACGATTGAGAAAGCTGGAAGTGTGGGTATATATGCTGTTGGGGGCTTGTTGTATAGTAGACACGGTGATGGGACTCTATGGAGATATACTGGCACTCCGGAAGTGTGGGAGATGATAGACAATAGGAGTGGAATGGCTGTTAGTGCTGTGGGTGATCGGGCGGGAGGGGTTTGGGGGTTGTCTAGTACGAGTGAGATCTGGACGTTGGTTTCGTGAGCTTCGTTGTATCGACCCATGGTCTTGCCTAGTACGTAAGTGTTTACTACATGTTTTGTTGCTTGAAATCTATAGTGTGGTCCCCGAATTCTGCACAGCTTTCTCAAACCAGACCTTGTGTTGATCTTGGGGTCGACAAATCATAACAACATGTTGCTAGTTTTAAGCATAGGGTACAATGTCTCTTCTCAGCTGCAATAGAGGAGTATGTAACGGCGGCAGATGGTGCAATGTCAACTCAAATGGAGTACGGAAAAACGGACACCTTGGAGTAATATAGTGCCTACTAAGAAGGCTACCCCTCGCCTACAGTTCACTCATCATCGTCTAGGGGCATCTCATCGGCCAGCGGATGCTCAGACAAATAGACCAGCTTCTACAGGCGCAAACTTGACCTGATCAGCCTGAATCTCCTCCAACAACCCATTGCCCGGATATTCATCCAGATCCAAATCAACATACCCCCTCTCCGCCCATTTCCTCGCAGAAACAAAGAGCGACCGCCCGTTGACACTCGCATCACTCAGAATCCTCAATAAACACTGCCCCGCATCTTCCGTCGTGGCGAACTGCACCCCCGCCTTCTCCACGGCATCAAAATCGTCGTGCGACAGGATACCCGTGCGCACGTACCATGGCGAAATCATGTTGATGCGAGACCCGTAGTAGTACGCTGTCCGACGTAGCGAGTGCATGATGCCGCGCATCGCATACTTTGACGCGCTATACTGGGGCCCTCGCGGACAGTCTAGGTAAGCCGCTCCAGATCCGATGAGAACGAGACAGGTATCTGTTTGGGAGGGGGATGGGGAAGTGCCGTTTTGGGTCATGAAGTAGTGGGATGCGAGTTTGGTGGTGTAGAGGGCGCCGTTGAGGTTTACGGAGATGATGTCGAGGTTGGGCTTTTGTGGGGGTTGGGAGGGACCGTTGAATGTGAAGACGTCGTCTGCGTGTATGATGCCGGCGTTTGCGACTACGTAGTCGATCTTGCCGGTGGCGGATAGGGATGTGGCTTCGCTGAAGAGGCGGACTTGGTCGTCCCAGTTTGTTACGTCGCAGTGTACGAAGCGGCAGTCTTTGAGCGAGGAAGCGAGCTGTTGTCCGCGGTGGACGTCGCGGTCTCCGAAACACACCTTTACGCCTGCATTGACAAGTGCTCGGACATATGCTTCGCCGAGACCACTACCGCCTGCCAATGAGGTTAGCTAGCTTTTCAACGAACGTAACAGTTACTACTGCAGCAACTATGGTGTTTGGCATAAAGACTGTGTATACCTCCAGTGACTACAGCAGTCTTTCCTGCTAGATGGCTGACATCGAAGTCGATCGTGCAATCGACAGGTTTCGTAGGGGTGGAGCCAGGCATAGTGATCAGCAGTTTGGAAGATATTGATGAGAGTGACAGAGTGAATGGATGATAGATCGAGGACTGACTGACGTCCTTTTATAGCTCAGGTTCCATTCTTTGACATCAACCAGTGTACATAGATTCCACCCAAATGGGGTCAGTTACCCACCCAGGTAAGCAGGAGCCATGGAGTTAAGGAGCGGTTATGTGCACGCAGCTGACAGACACAAGTGCAAGCAGACTTTGGCCGCTACTCGATCGCATAGTCCGGAATTAGTTGACCATGCATCTGAGTTCGGATGTGAGGTGACCAGATAAATGAGGTCGAGATTGTGCCTGGGTGGCGGTAGGCAACGCGCTAATGCAGCCTGCTGACACGCTGGGCAAACACCGATTATGTGCAGGCCAGACGCCCTTTCACGCCGTGTCGTCATAGTATTCGGGGTTTCTCATGCTCATCCGCGCGACTAATGCAAGAGACATAAGAAACTGATGGCTGAACGCGCCGAGTGTAGCGTACCTACTGGAGCGCGTCCTAGACATGGCCGAAGATACCCGGTCTCCGCATGGCTAGCGCCTCAGACAGTGACATGCCCAGGCGTACATTCCTGCTTGTCGTACCTGTTCTTCCTCAACTTCAACTTTCTAGTATGATGACTTAGTTCCACAAACCGATATTCTGCTCAACATCTTCGGCATGCGTTTGCAAGATGCTGCCGTCTCCGTTGCCGAGGTCCAGCCCCACATCTCCCCACATCCCTGTGTCAACAGTCTGGGGTGCCACGCGGGGTGGCTGGCGAAGACGGGTATGTGATGACATGTAGTCTAGATACCGTTCTAGATCTTGAGCAGAGTTTGGAATGTAACGCGTACGCGAAAAACAAACAATGTCGACCGAAGAGTGTACCCTGCACCATCCCACACTACAGCGGACGTTGCGTGGAACATCATCCGCGTCAACAACACAGTTTCGCAACCTAAAGTACGCATCGATACCGGCACGATACAAGGATTCGATTCCAGACGATAGGCTTGAAGTTGGGGAGGATGGGGTTTTCGACGCTACGCAATTCGGTCCATCATGTCCACAGTTACGTGGAGCTCAGGCATGGGACCTGACTTTAGTCGGAGATGCCGTCTTGCCTTGTAGCCCTGGTCAGGGCGATACAGAGAGAATGGATGAGTTCGACTGCCTGAACGTAATCGTCACGGTGCCTAAGGATATCCCGAGCGATGCAAAGAGTGGAGGACGAGGTCTTCCAGTGTTCGTATGGGTACATGGTGGTGGTCTCAGCGTCGGAGCAAACAGTTGGCCACAGTATGATCTACTTCAATTTGTCCAGCGAGGTGTAGAAACCGGTAAACCCTTCATTGGTGTTTCAATGGCATACCGAGTCAACGTATTTGGTTTCCTGGCCAGCGATGAGATTGGTGCAGCCGGTAACATGGGTTATAAAGATCAGGTGCTGGCTTTCCGATGGGTCAAGAAGCATATTGCGGGTTTTGGAGGCGATCCGAGCAACATCACTACTGCAGGCGAGTCGGCAGGAGCGATTTCGCTATCAACGCTCCTCTGCGCGAACGTTGGGGATGAGGGACTCTTTGAGCGTGTTGTCATTATGAGTGGTGAGGCATCTTTACGCAAGTGGAGGAATAAATGGTGGCATCAGAAGATGTGCGAAGATCAGTCTACCTATCTGAAAATCGACAGCAACGATGTCGAGAGCAGGAGAAAGATCTTATTGGACACCGATGCGGAAGAGTTAGCTCAGAGATTACCTTTAGCACAGCATTTCGCCGCAAGAGTCGATGGCCAATTCTTCACACAAGAAGTCACGATAGAGTCGATAATGGATGGGTCAAGCGCCGTACACAAGCCATCATGGTGCAAGGAGTTTGTAATAGGCGACACGGAGCACGACGCCCTCATTCTGAAAGGCCGACTGCTCGACCAGCCCAACAGTTTTGGGCGTCTTCTGAAGGCGTGCGAAACGCACCTTTCTCCACTCGAGACCCTTGGGCTCCTACAGGTCTATCGTCTCGATGGCAACGTATCAAAGGAAGTCAGAGGAGAGCGCTTGTTAGTACTCGCATCTGAACTCCGCTTCTATCTACCAGCGCTAGCAGCATATCGGGGGTGGAAAGCTCTCTCACCACCAAGACCAGCTTCAAGATACCACTTCCACGTCCCTAATCCAATAGATGGGCCTTTTAAGGGTCTCGCAGCCCACGAGCTCGATGTTGCATATCTCTTGCAGAATTTCGACCCTTACTTCAGTGATGGCGACAGGAGGATAGCACGGGCTATGCAAGACCAGTTCATCCGATATATCCACGGCGAAGGGTGGGTTGAGGATGGCAAGATGTTGGTGTTTGACAAAGACGGTACGACGGTGGTCGATGATGAGAGGTATGATGAAATGTATCGAAAGAGAAGAGGAAGTCTACTGGAGAAGATTGGAATGGAAAAGTTGTGGCGTGTTGCCGAGATGTGGCAGGGTGTGCGACAGGAAGAAGAAGAATACGCAACTTTCTCGGGCGACTCGAAGCTATGAGGGATATGTATATCATCACTTCTAGGTAATTTGTGGATCCAGCGGATCACCGTGATGTCTTATTATCCGAGAGACTTCCAAGTAACGGAGGAGATCACGGAGAGGGTGAAGAAGGTAGTGACCGAGATCTTTGGGCAAGGAATGGAAGTTGCGGTGGTGAACTCGACGACGATGTTCGAGAAAAAGACGAAGGCGATAGATGCTCAGTAGAAACTAGGTGCAATTATTAAGGTCAATGATGACCTAAGCGAGACTCAGCAATTTGATCTATTCACTCGGATTGTGCATGGCAACGTGACCTTGCCTGTTTAGGACTAGCCTTCCACTGTTTGTAAGTCACAACTCAACCCTCGAAATCTGCGCTGTTTCGCCCAGAGGATCCCACATCCGAGTCAAATCATCCCATGACTGTATCGCTACTCCCTCCGTTGTCACCCACCACCAAGCACCGCCCTTCATTCGCAATGTCAAGCCCAGAAGAAGTCCCCTTCTACTCAGCCGCGAATTGGCGGAGACGAACAAACATATACAACGTAAACATTCAATTCACAATCCACAACCCACAACCCACAGCCATGACGTCCGTTTCAACCAATCTAACCTCCAACCCCCAGCAGCCCACCCTCTTCGGCGACGGCCTCCCAACCAAGCGACCCAAAGCCACCTCCCCACCCTGGGCACCATGGATCGATCCCGGCCGCGAAGTCCTCTCCGAGGCCGAATCCCGATGGTCGCTCTACCTATATTACGAGTTCGACCGCAAAACATTATTCTTCGAACAAATTCCCGTTCCAGACAATAGCGCCGTCGCACCAGACGCGTCGCAATGGCCATGGCCAGCCAAGTTCTTCGACGAAACGGCCAACCAGATCACTGAGCGCAATGCAAAGGAGTCGGCGTTTCTTCGTCTGCCGAAAGAGTTGAGGTGGACGATATATCAGTATGTCATCGCGGATAGTGATGGGACGGTTGGCAATGTTACTAGTGCTGGAATCGTTTCACATGCGAGGGCAAGGTTTCCGTTGCTGCGAGTTTGTCGACAGGTGTATGCTGAGAGGGGGTTTATCCCCACGTCTTGAAGGCATGTCCAGTCTTATCAATCTGGAGTTGCCGCATACCGAGGTGAATTGGAGCTGGGAAGTTTGGTATACCTACGGGTGGCGGATACCGAGGTGGTCTACAAGGCTACTAGCTGGCGCAGGATTGTAACGCGCTCCGAAGGTAGAGGTGGTCTGGGTCACTGCTGGTAAGACAAGGCAGTGAGAGCTCTTTTGAGACCTCTCAAGGAAGCGGGGCTGTTGTAGTGTTTCGTCGTCATCAGGTAGGCTTGTTGTGTGTAGCCAGACATGAATGAACAAAGCTCAAGGGAAGGTGAACATGTCTAGAGTATGAGTATATTATAGCATCGGGATGCGTACATCCCCAGAAGACTACAAGTTTTGTCCATGTACACCAGTTTCCCGTCCCCTTCCCCATCAACCCAGTTCTCCTGGTGCGTGAACTAGCACACACCCACCGTCTTTCCTTCCGCCACTACCGCCGCCCTGATTAGGATTTCAATCCCATTGAAGAAGTACACATTACAGCTCCGCATCTCTCCAACGCGCCCTTCACGCTCGCCAAGACATAAAGAAAAGAAAAGCGTTCGTTCGTGAACTCTTCCTTGGAAGTATTCAAAGGAAACACCAATGCAAGAGGAAGTGTAGAAGAAAAGAAAAAGCAATGGAAATAATGGTGGGCTGCGCTAGCCGCGTGGTATCAAATCAATCCTGGTCCAACTTTAAATATATCAATCAGCCCACTAGGCTTTCGTCGTCGTCTTGATGAAATCGGAAATACGAAACATGGCCGGTAGCAAGTCCGCCATTGAATAGTCCTGGCTTTCGCGTGTCTCGTTCGATTGTACAGTTTCTCCAAGTGGTGTCGAGGCGGCTACAGGGCCACTATCAGCGACTGGAGTCTCTCCATCATCAGTCGAGGGGGCTATAATGCGAATTTCAGGGACTTGTGTCACCCTATCATCAGTCGTGACAGCTACAGGGCCACTGGATGTGTCTTGTGGAGCAACGCTATCGCTATCGGCACTCAAAATCGCAGGGGTGGCAGAACCGCCTAGATTGCTGGGGCTCGAGGTCCCGAGAGGGTTCCGAACAGCTGCTCCGGCGGCAGACGTCCTACGTTGCCTAACCGATCAGGGTAAGACGTCGGGGCAGGGGAATAGCCCTGTTGCTTTTTGCGGAACCATTCGATAACGATACCGATAACGACGAGGAGGAAGGTGAGGACGAGAGCGATGGCGAGGCCAATGAGAACAATGGCCCATAGCGCGAGATGCTTGTCTGGGAGACGTTAGCATACAGACCGAGATTGAGAATGGTTTCTGCGACTTACTTGACTGTCTGAAGAATGAGTTGGGGTTCTCTACAAACACAGAGGATAGGCTTCCAGTTTGTGTCGAACCGTCTTGGCCCTTAGTAGCAAGGAGGAAAGGAGTGAGTGTAGTGCCGTTGAAAAGCGCAGCAGATGCTGTTTTACCCGCAAACGAAGTAATGTTGAGCTGGCCCATGAGAAGGAGATCCTGGTTGCGGTCGATGATATCGGAGTCGCCATGGTCTTCGGATAGAGAGAGGACCTGAATTCCACGAATTTCGGTCGAGCTACCGAACATGGCCCCATCAGCAGGCACCCACTTGGTACCGTCAAATCGCTGCAGGAACGCAGTGCCATCGCTTGCTGTACCAGCGGCCCAGAATTGGTCTCCGTTACGGTTAGCAATGGTCAGAGCAGTGACCGGACCAGGAAGGTCGTTGGCACCGGGAACGACAGCGAATTGTCTGCTTGATGAGTCGTAGGTCAGGATCTTGGTCTGGTTGGTGCCAGAGGTGAGGTTGCCGGCAATGAGTAGACTGTTGTCGCCAACCCATGTGAGCGACGAAACATCACCGGAAAGGCCAGTGCCTGGCGCAGTCCATTGACTACGCTCGGTATTCCAGATGCACACTGCAGCACAGCTCAAGGCGCCAGCGGACTGGAACTGACCTGCGACGAAGATGTCCTTGGACTTCGGTCGTGGAGCGATGGCGTTGACTGTAACGTTCACACCCTGAAGCGGTGGCGGCTGAGCCTTGGTGAACGCGTTGCTGGCAAGGTCGTAGGCGACAACACCAGCAACACGATTGTTGTCGAGCTGTCCGCTGATCATGCCACCGGCATACAAGATATTGTCCAAGACAGCGACGGCCGCAAAGGTGGAATTGGCGTCCAGCTCGTCGTCAAAGCCGGTTACTTTGTCAGAGTCGTTACCGTCAATGATGAGGAGGTTGGTGATGTTGCGGTCCTCTGCGCCCTTGGTTGCGAAATGTCCAGCGAGGATCGTCTTGTTCATGCCGTTTTCCTTGTAGAATGTACCAGTACGGACTCCAGTGGTGTTGAGGTTTTGTCCTTGAACGATGGCTCGCTTACGAGAAGGGGTCTGCTGCTGCTGTTGCGCTTGGATCTTGATGGGGAAAGCACTGAGTGACAGTTCATCTCCACTTTCGAGCTCAGCAGTACCGCTCGCGAGAAGAGCACCAGATGATACAGATCCACCATACCAGCGTTCACCTCCGGGCACATCAGCGAAAGTCATCAGTCTGCCGGACATGGCTAGAGAGTAGAAGTCCAGGTTGTGCAGCCAGTTGCCACGAGATGGCACCCAGACTGCAAAGTCATTAACGCTCGTGCTGGGGTTGTTACCAAAGGCGTTGACCCGGCTGAAGAATCCGCTGACAGCGAGCACGTCTTCGGGAGTATTGGCGGTGATGTTGAGCGAGAACGGTACCAAGTACAGGACGACACCATCTACACCGGCACCAAGGGGTTGCCACTGGTTGTTGTTCAAGGTAGCCACTCCGCCAAGGCCTGCTACGTTGTTCTCCGCCGTGTTGGTGAAGTTACCACCGACGTACAGCGTACTAGCGTTGTGGAACATAGTCATGACCTGGTTGTTGAGTCCTTTGCCGGGAAGTGCGCTGGGTTCTTCCGCTCCCTGTCGAACTTCGAAGATGTTGTTGCGGTCGTCGCTGCTGTTGAAGGATCCGCCGACATACAGTGTGTTGTCACCTGTTGTGACAGTGGTAACGAAAGCCTTCTCCCTAGGAATGAGGCTGGCTCCGGCGGCAGTGATGACCGACTTGGTAAAGTCGTCCGCGTCTACGGTCTGACCAGGCTTGTACTCGAAGAGACCGTTCAAGTTACCTGACGTAGCCTTCAGAAGCGTGAAGCGCACCCTCTGTGCAACGACAGTCAAGGGGCCAGGGCCTTGTCCGCTTGCAGGTCGAAGGATGACTTGTGGACGGGAGCCATCGGTGACATCGATGAAGCCGTTGTAGACCTCGTCGTACTTGTCAAAGTTGTTGGTCTGCCAAAGCTCAACGCTGTTGGGCTCGCCGCCCAATTGTGCTGTGACGTTGACCCGACCGCGGGTGCCGCAAGTACCATCGCCCTGGCATCCAGGCGTGTAAATGGTGACAGAGTAGTTGCCAGACTGTTTGATATCGGGCAGGAAGGTGACGCTGGTCGACTCAGTGTCGATGGGTGTGCCCTGCAGAGATGTGGTGAGATACCTGGAGGAGCTGTCGTGTGACGGAGAGACCTGCCAAGAGCCGGTAGAGGTTGCTTCTGACCCTGACGTGGTTGAACCACAGTTCTTGGGCTCGTTGAAGTCGTTGACTGCATAGGAGTACATGGCGTCCTGGAACAGCTGGATACCGTTAAGACCACCACCCTGACCGTACCATTCCGAGACGTCGATCCTGAACGCGTTCATACCAACGACGTTGACGAAGGAGAAGTCCTGCGCAGTGGTGTTGCCCTCGGGCAGGGGGCACGTCGCGTCGCAGAATTTCTGTTGTCCGCTCTGGGGATCGGTGAAGGTCAGGTTCAAGATACCGCCGTCTGGAAGTGCAGTGAAGCGGAAAGTCTTGCTACCACGGCCCTCGAAGTCCGTGTTGTAGAGCTTCATGCTTGTTGGCTCGAAACCGAAGCCAAAGTCGGCCTTCCAGAATCCGGGCGATCGATCGGCGAGCAGCCATGTCGAGCCGGCGCCTTGCGTGGAAAAGTCGGCTTTGCATGCGATGTTCTTGGGGTCTGAGAGACCATTCTGGCCGGAGCTTGTCTGGGCGGATATGTCTGCGGTAGCGATGGGGATGACCTGCGTGTTGTTTTCGCTCGACACAATCGACGCATTGCCTCCTCCGAGACCGTTGAACTCTCCTCCAAAAATTATGTTGTCGTTGGACCGGATGATGGAGTGGATGGGGCCGTTGAAGCCATTGAACGATAGGTCTTCCCAGCCGTTCTTCCATACTAGAGCGTTGGACGAGTTCGCACCTTCCAGACTTCCTCCCACGTAGACCTGACCGCCATCTCTATCGCAGTAGAGCGCGTTGACCGATCCAGTAAGTCCTTCGAGTGGAGTGACATTGCCGTTGTTGGGGTCGAGCAGCGCGATGCCTCCAGGTGTGCGAAGATCGCCAACACTAGTAAAGTTGCCTGCGAACACGACTCGTTCCGCGCCATTGACCTGGAGCGCGCACATGGCCTTGATGTCGGCATCTGTGGTGTTGATCGTCGCAAAGACGCCATTGGGGTAGCGTGCAAGGAGAGCTCCTCCAGTAGCGGGAGTGTTTTGATTTTGGCCTTCATACTGGTAGAGCGATATCGAATCGAAATCTCCAGCGAAGGCTATCCGGCCTAAGTCGTCGAGGTTGAGGTTGGGATTTGGGACGGGTTTGAAATTATAGGCCGTGGCTTGCGAAGCCACGAGCAGCGAAAGGGTGAGCTTGCCGGCCGCCGTGCGCAGAAGGGCAGCGAATGACTCCTTCATGGCAGCGGTGGGTAGCGAGGTCGATGGGAAGAATAGTGTTGGGGGTGCGAGTGTCGGAGGCGACTGTTATGAAGAAGGGATGGCCACGTTAGGCATGGGAGCGGGTGTCGGTGGGCGGGGAGGCAGGTGCGGTTTGCTCAGGGTCGTCGCGATCGCTGGATCCGGTAGGCTGGTTCCAGTGAAGCTGT